CAGACAGTCAAAATAAATACTTTTTAAATCAATTGATCATAATATAATAATGATATGAAATTAACGCCTCAAACAGTAAAAATATAAACATTTAATTATTAAGTTACAATCATGTAATTACAGAATCCTATACATTAAATTATGGCAACATTCAATTTTAATAATTTTCTTATGGATTGGGAATTTTAGTGAGATCACGTGAGCGGGGTCTAAAAGGAAGGGTTGTTTAGACTTCTGCTAAATATTACTCAGACTTTTTTTTTTAAAATTAATTTAATTAAATCTAATTAAATAATTTTTTCAGTTTGAACTTAGTTTTTTTTTAAAAGAATAAGAAAGAAGAAAAGATTAATGAATTTTAATAATCGAAATCGTTTTTGCTATAATTAAAAAAAATAAATCCAATCGCTAAAATATATTTATATATTTATTACAACATGCAATATATAGCAAGCAGTGGCGTAGCTACGGGGGTGGTTTTCGGGTTTGGACCCCTTCCAGAGCAAATTTTTTTTTAGATTATACGTTCAAAAGACTTAAAAGTTACTTTATATCAAATAAATACCATCAATATTTATATTTTTCTATTTTTGATGTTCGTGGAAGGATAATATATTGAAAAATTTAATTAAATATATTTAGATTTATCAATTTTATATTGAATTTTTTATTTAAAATAAAAATATATGATTTTATTTATAGAACTAGACGCCGTATAACATATGGCTTTTATTTTGAGTAATTATATAAATTAATTTCTGTAGTTAAAATAAAATCGGGCCGGGCTGAGAAAACTTTTTTAAAAAAAATTTCGGGCCGGGCTTGAAAAATTAGTCCCGATGCAGATCCCTAATTATAATAATCCTCAAAAAACGTCAATTTAACCAATAGTGTTCTTTTAAAAAATATTTGTTTCATGATAATCATCACAGCAATTTTAAGCCAATAGTAATTCCCATGTGATTTATAATATGGCGAATATACTCAAATGCATAACTACCATCATTCCAAAGGTATGTGATGCTATATGGAAAACTTTAAAAGATATCCAGTTTCAACTAGAGAACATTTTGAGAAGGTATTAAATTTGGATATTAATATATTTTTAGATTGCACAATAATATTTTGAGAAACATGGATTTTCAAACTGCCTTAGCTCATTAGATGGTAAGCACATAAAAATAAAGCAAAATCTTGAACCCATTTTTACAATTATAGATCTTTAGTTTATATCAAAGTAAATTTTTAATATTAATAAATAATTTTTAATTATTTTAGAGTAAGAAAATGAAGCACTTTTTATTCCACCTTCTAAATCTATGTCAGTAAAACTTTAAATGAATCAAGTACCAATTCAAGAGGAATAAGAGATTTATTATAATACTATTTTAATTCATAAATTTATGTATAATTTAAAATTTTATACCGGGGCTATTCTAGAATCTTCCATTATTTTTATAAAATATGTTAGTGAGTATGTATTTAATAATTTTAATTTATGTGCAATTAAAAAATCTTTTAAACTAAATTTTTATTCATTTGTATCTGTAATTTATAATCTAAAAATTTATTCTTGCTAGATGAGAGTTTTGTGTTACCAAGGTGTGCTTTGTGCCTTTCATTATTAAAAACCCTTAAGGAAGGATCCATTCCACATTAAATTTTATACAACTATATATCTATTAATTAGGTAATTTTTATGCAATAGTAAATATTTGCATCTCTCTCATCTTTTCTGAATCTACATGCATTCCATAGTGTTGTATATTTTCTCATAACTTCATAATTGTAGAATGTATGTTATTCATAACTTATTATACCATTTTTGATTAAATGTATAACCTTTATGTTTTACTTATATATAATTTGACTATGATTGAAGTTAACCTCCTATTATTTGTTAACTTAGAATATCTTTTTTTTCTATTGTAATTTTATAACAATGTCTTATATAAGTAATAAATCATTTGGAAGGGTGAAGGTTTGTTTAAAATTTAAACTAGGATGAACATATTTTCGGCATGGTACTTTAATATGTATTCATGAATTTCATATAAATACCAGGAGCTAACCAGTTGAATGATAGGAAAATCAGATATTTCCTCTTCATTTGATGATAATTTTGAAAAATTTTACTAATAATATAAAATGGCATAAAAATATGTACATATTAGACAGATTTAATTCTTATAAACCCCTTATATCAGACCTATTTTTCTGGGTCCAAGGAAAAAATAAATTATTCTGAGTTTTCCTAGGCTTGGGAAATATTTTTCACAATTAATATAGTCTTAGATGCCTGAAATTTTTTTAATAAATATGGGCTAGAAATTGGCCTGAAAATTTTTTTTAAAGACATGGCCAGGCCATATCAAAAACCAAAGCCTATGCAAATTTCATATTCTGATTGTATTTTTAAATGCATAGTGACTTTTTAATATTCAGTTCTCAACTACCAAAATAATTATGGTCTGTGGCAGGTTTGAGAAAATTTTCCCAAGTGCGTGGACCTGGCTTGGGAATTTTTTTAATATTAGGCATAGATGTAATTAACACAAAATATTTATATGGCTCTGAGGTAAAAGCTAATTTAAATATATTTTTATTCAAAAAAATAGTATTCACTCTTAGTCTTAATGGGTTGGCCTTGGTCTGAAATAGGGCTGAGCTGGGTTAAAATAGAATAAAAAATAGATATGGGTTTTAGAGATTTACCTATCTCCGTGTTTGGGAAAAAATTAAAAAAATTACTATGGGTGGGAAATTTTTTTTATAAAATTATTATGAGATGGGCTGGGCCTGGAAAATATTTTTATAAATTATATTGGGCTGGGCTTGGTGAAAATTTTTCATAATTATTATGAGCTTTGACGCTTGAGAATTTTTTTATTATTAACTATGGGACAGTCATTGGCCTAAATTTTTTTTGCAGGCCTAGACTCAGCCTGATCAAAAAACCAAAGCCCATGAAAATATGATTTTGATTGTATTTTTAAATTCATTATGATTATTTAAATATTTTATTACAGTTCTCAACTACCAAAATTATAATGATCTTTCATTGGGCTTGAATGAATTTTTTAAAAATTATTATGGCTTTACACTTTGACTGGGAATTTTTTTTAATATTAAATATTAGGTATAAGTGATCACTAATATTTAACAAATAATATTGGTATTATCAAAATAAAGCTTTAAATTTATTTTTACTCAAACCATAGTATTTACACTTAGTTTTAATATAGATTGAACCTGGCCTGAAGGGGGAAAGGGGTAAAGAGAAAAAAAATTGGATATTATTTTCAAATAACAGGTAACAACTAGTATTGTAAAGCCCGATTTGGGTCAATTTTTTAAAACGGCCTGATTAAGATTTTAGCTAAAATAATATTATGTAAGCATCGAGATTTTGAAAATAGATGTCCAAGCATTTCTGCTAGCTATGTGCAAAATCTTTAAGCTTATATAAGGTTATTTTGGTTATAACCTTATAAGGGCCGTTTTTTAAAATCGACATTGGGCTATTTACAACACTAGTAACAACTCATAAATGTAAGAAAAAAATTCTCATTCCCCGTCATTTTTGACGGGCTATCTACTAGTTTTAAATAATAATATAAAAATATATTAAATAAATTTACATTTTTTTTCTTCATAAAATCAAGGAAAGAAACAAAATTTAGACACCTTAAAATCGTAAAATTTCTCGCCCATAGCGATGGGATGGGTTTTTATGTATTATTTTCCAGATCTATAAAAGACATTAATAAATATCTAAAAAAAATTTATTTTATTTTTAATTCAATAAATAAAAACTTGTAGATTGTAAATCAAACTCATAAATGTTATCTTGATAAAATCATGAGAAAAATTTAAAAATACGGCGGAGGATGCTAAAATATATATATATATAAATAATATTTGAATTTTATTAAATAATTTTATTTATATACTTTTTTTAAGTAAGAAAAATAGATTTCCAAAAAGATAGAAAGATCTATATTAAACGAAGGATCTCCGTCACTATACTCAATTTAAGAGGAAATCATAAATCCGGATATATTGTTAAGATTTAGATCGAATCCATGATAGTAGATTGTTTGATCTGAATCTTTTAGGACCCCCCCCCCCTCCCCCAGTTATTGAACAATACACTATTAATGTTCGATTCTGGAAAGATGACCAATGCTAAAAATTGTGAAAATGAAATGCTAAATGTTTTAATAATTTATCTAGTACAAGAAAGTTTATACCAATGAAATCACGAAATATAAAATATTTTACAATTTTTGCAAAAAAGGGAAGATAATGTAGACTAATAAAGGAGATAATCAATTTGAAATTTTAATAAAGTATATATTATAAAACACCATTTATTTGTTAGCCCTCGACCAGGTGCTTAATGTACAGTAGGTCTGATGGAAGTATATTAATAACTATTTCATAAAATACATAATAAAAGGGGCATGCTATTACAAATTAACATATAGGTAAATTCAATAAATGTTTTCTGTCCAAAAGACAATGTTATTTGCTGTAATTTTTTAACTTCTTTTATTGCAATTTTAATTATTAAATGAATAGCTAATCGTCAATCTTTCTAAGCAATGGGAACTGTAACAGTCACTTTTCCTATATTACTCTTAAGATTTCATCCTTCTCACCACCAATATTAGATATTTACGGATTTATTTTTTATTGGAGACGACCTTGTAAATTAAATATTTTCATAAATATAACGCAATACTCTTCATATTTCATTTTTATTTCTACCCCATTAATATTTCCATATATCATCTTACGTGCTCCTCATATCAACAATATACCTCCTCATTCTTATATTTGATAATAATATGTGATTAATTATATTTTTTATGAAAAAACTAATGATTGTAAATAGCTTTCATAGGAAAAGTTATAAATTTTTATATAAAATATAATTTAAAGCGATATTTTTATTTTTCAGGTGTTTCGATGCAATGACTGATAAGTGTCGACGAACTTATTTTTTTTAATCGGAATTCAAAATGATAAAATTTTGAGATTATGGTGATGCATAAAGGACCTGAAACACATTGCCAGAGGTGTAATGTGAAGGTTTATCCAGTTGATAAAATTGGCCCTTTAAAAGGGGCATTCTTTCATCATCAATGTTTTAAATGCCGTAATTGTGGATTATCTCTCAACATGAAAAATTTTATTCAAAATCAACTCGATCCAGATGACAAAGAAGTTATTAAACAATTTTTAAATGTATATATTTAATCAACTTATATGTTGTAATAAATTTAGGTTTATTGCAATAATCATGTACCTAAATCATTAGCAGGGCATGTTGGAGGAGATGCTATTGGAATTAGAAGTGCACTTTCAGCACCAAGAAAAGGAGCCTCTTACAATGAACAGATAAGAGGAAGTGACAAATATAATCCTGACACACAAGCAGTAGAGATACAAAATGCCTTGATGAATATGAAAGTTTGTAAAGATCAAGATGATAAAATTAAAAAAGAAAAACTAAATAAAAGCAATAAATGGTGTAAGGAGGATCAAAATATTAAGTATCTCAATGGTAATCACAATATTAACAATAATCATGATAAATTATCTTCTCCAACACATAACAATATCAAAGATTATAACAATTTCCATGATATAAACTATTTAAATTCTGACATTTATAAATTTAATCAATCAAGGGATTATAATTCTTATTCACCAGATATTTATCCTTCTTCCAAAATAGTATCACATGATAATCGTATCAAAGATAATTACCAAAATGGCAAAACACATTCACCAATTAATAATTTTTTACAACAAAATAATAGCACCCATAATGGTTTAAATCATACTAACAGCCCTAGCCCTTCTGATGACACTGTGGTAAACAAATCATTTACTCTTTTTTTAATAGTCACAAAATTATGATATTTAATTTACATATCTATATTTTTTATGATAAACTTAAAAATTAATATATTCTGGTAGTCACAAAGTAAAAAAAAATTATAATGTGATATATAAATATTTATTTGACTTTAAGGCAAACTCATAGAAATTTACTTTTATTAATATATATATATATATATATATATATACAAAGAGAGAGGGAAAAGTGATAACATATTTATTTATATATATACAATGTCCATAATGCTTGAATTTAATTAAAGGAAGGTTAATGTTTTAAATTATCGGCCTAATTAATAGATTGAGATATTTCAAATTCATACCTTTGGAGAAAAATTGATATTCCACAGATTTATATCTAAAGTTTAATTTTATGCTAGTTTAAACTTGTCTTTTGTTAAAATATAGTTTATTTTTTTTATATAGATTAGGGTATGAATAATTATATTTAAATTTTTTAAGCATTATAACAAATAATACCAAAAAATTGTTGGAATCAGAATCAGATACATTATTCAGTATCAGATTCCTGGTGTTAACTCTTTATTCAAATGTTTTATTTATATTTATTCTTTTTAGTTTTTGCAATTTTATACTTCACTTCTTACTAGGAGAAGGGTTCTGCTGATTGGACAGGGGAGTCCAATTCAAGATCAGCTGAAAAATTTGTGGCACATTGCCTGGGATTTACTTTTGATTTCCTCTAAAAAATTTTTTTGACATAACAATGCTTTTTGATATTGAACCTGTAAGTTTTAAAAAAATTTTATGAGGGAGGGGGGAAATTAAGTCATGTTCTGACTCGTTTTATTTTAAAGCAGATTAATCTGCTTAGCCATCTTATATAACTCCCTCTAAACGGATAAAAATGAAAGGGGCTCATCAGATTTTAGTAAGCACTTATAACAAAATAATGTGCTAGTTCGATTGGAATCTGGATTAGACTGGTCTAAACAGCTTTCGAACTAGGACACCTTATATTTGGTTTGTTTTAATGAGTGTTTGGTGGGTGTCATTGTTATTTATTTTTGCGTATTTTTTTTCTCCCCTTACTTTTTAGGCCGTTTGACTATATAGCCGACTAAACAGCTGACTTTTTGGTAATGAGTCGAACCAGGGACACACGCCTAACGTTCTTCTTTTTTTTTATCATCTTATCTTTTTTGTAAATTTTGATAATCAATCATTTTTTTTCATCTTTTCCTATCCTACTCTGCCCACGTCTAAATAGAACAAAATGGCGCGCGACCCCCAATTTAGGTGAGTTAGTTGTCACTCCCCTTTAGTTTTTTTTAAAAAAACATTATTTTATAATATCGCTAGCAAAGTTTGGGCCCCGGTCTAAATAAACAGTTCCATTTTTCTGAAATGGTTCCGACAAATGGGAAATAACGTTTTCCTATAAAATAAATCGCGCAAAATTTTTGAACAGATGTTACATCAGAATATAGTAAATTTTGTTAAGGTTGCTGGAAATGATTTATAAAAAGGATGTTAATCAAATATAGAATATTAATTAAATATTCGCCTTAATATTATACATATATATTATATATATAATTTTCATTACATATATCTTACCTTGATTAAATTAATTTGTAGTTTATATCTTAGCATATTTCTCCATAATACAATAACAAATTTATAAAGTTGATAAATCAAAAAAAGATAAAGAATTGAAAGACGATGTTTTCACAAATTAATGACCATTTATTAATATTTAATAACTTTTTCATTAATTAGGATTACAAATTCTATAATTATCGTGAATATGTAAAAATGTTGCAAACGTTTCCTTAGTATTTATTTCTGTTACAATAAATAAAATACATGGTCAACGATAGGTTCAATGATCGATACATAAATTTTTATATATTTATTATTTAATTAATCAAATATAACAGAATGTATTGTAGCTAAGTGGTGGCTCTATTTTTTCCAGTTATAACCTAGTTTTAGGCCGGTTAAAAAACGCGGCTAAAACTTAGTTTTTAGCTGAATTTTTTTTAAACTTCAGCCTCCGATTTGAAAAAAAATTAGCCAATCTTTTACACCCGCATGTAGATTTAGTTCAATTTGACTATTTATAGACATTACTTATACCCAGAGGCGTTGTAATGTTTTACCTAGAGGATCAACGATTCGTCCATTAAAAATGCGCTTTGAAGTATCGTTGAATTTAAATCAGCTGGGTGACATGTCATTTTGAGTTCCAATATGAGATTTTAAAAGAAAATTTTAATATAAGAAACCAAAATGGCGTGCCACCAACTCATTTCTAATAAATATTAATATGCATTTTAAAAAATGAATGAATTTTCAGTCTTAGTAAGTGTGTATAACTATAATTATCATACCTTATACTATAGTAAATTTTTTTATAGTTATTTTATAATAAGTTTCATTGTTTTGTTTTTATTATATTACTATTATTTCTAAAGCTAAACAATAAAACAAATATACAATACATAATTCGATTTACGAAATTTTTTATTTTTCTCGTGGTATTAAAAAATAATAAAAAATATACCTTCCTTATTTTTAATTGTCGCCTTTTTTTATATAAACATTTTATAAATTTAATATACAAATTATTTTTTTTTGAAAATATTTTGTAAGTTTAGTCGAATACTAAAAGTTTATCATTTTTATATAAAAAAATATTTCAAGAAAAGGGATTAATTAATTAATAATGTTTTTGTTTGTTCCCGTAGTCTCTGACACCTGTCGATCATGCCCTAAAATTATTCAAAATATGGGGCAAGGGTTACGTTTAATCACAGGTGATCCAAAAGAAGGCTTCTACCCTACGACAAAGAATATCAATCGAAATTTGTCGATCCAACTGTATATCTATCTATACATGGGTCATTAAACCCCGCCGAGACCATACCTAAATATATTATTTTAAATTATTATTTATTTTTTTTTAAAATTTTTATTCTTTTAATTATATATATTTTTATATAGAATATAGAAATAGTATGTTAATTATAATTTTAAATATTTTTTTTTCTAATAAATGTGACAGTTTTAATAAATAAAATTTTTTTAAAAAAAACGAAAGGAAGAATTTTCTAAAAAAAGAAAAGAGAAATAATAAAAATTAGGAAAGCGAAAAAAAAAATTAAAAGAATAAAAATATAAAATAAAGTAATGAATACAATTAATTAGAAATGGAAATAAAAATAAGGGATTAAGGAAAGGAACGCAATGGGATTAAAATGTGCCACCTATCTTACGAACGATCTTTTTTTTTTACAAAACACACCTATATATATTTAACCATTATTTTTATAATTTTTTTTTAACACTATTATATTATATATCTTTTACCTCCCCCCCCCCCTTCTTTTTCCTTTTAAGAAACATTTTTTTTATCGATTATTTTAGATTTGTTCACATTTAAAAATTACATACTATTATCCATTGTAATTACTGGAAATATGTTCTATTCTTCTTTCCTCGGGACGCGTCGGTTATTATAGCACGGCTCCCTATAACGAAGAAGGTATATCGCCCGCCTCTATAGACTAGCGATTATCGCGTTTAAATGCGGCCCTTATTTCATTTTCTTTTTGTATCTGGGACGGGGGAATAAAACAATTAGGATAGCCGAAGTATCCCCCGAGAAGAACGGTCCGATACTTAACAAGGCCGAGTAGTTATGGCATGATATTTCCGAATGCGAATTTTGTTGAATACGGAAGAGCCAGCTAAAAAAAAATCAAGCCGTGGCTCCTTTATAAAGAACGTATTCCTTTTTGGTCTAATTCCGAATCCAAATAATAGCACGGCCGACCAGAAAGAGACTTAAAAATTATAAAAATCTTACATATTTTATTTATTATTGTTTAAAATGTACATTAAAAATAAATTATGCCTGTTATATATTTGAAGTATATTGTTCATCGGCGTACTCCCCTCCTTCCTTCCCATCCCCCCGAAATATGAAGCTAATAAATGAGATTAAATATGTTATCAAAATTATAAAACTTGGACTCAATATCATTTTAAACTTTAAAAAAAACATTTGTTAAAATCTGTTTTATCCAATGACATAATAATAATACCTAGACTGACTATGCATTCATAATAAATGCATTTGAAAGCGTTGTTGAATGCAAATCAGATGGACCCGCCATTTTGGTAACCCATATAGTAATTATTCTCATTGTTAAAAACTACTATTAAATTAATAACTTGCTTCCTTATTATCTCGATGATCAGACAATTCTTTAATAAGCGCCGGACATAAGAATAAATTGGCCTCTCGTTAATAATGATATGGATAATCAAAATGGCATTCCCAGCTGTTCTCATTGTGCACTTTTAACGAATGCATCGTCAGCCTAGGTATTATTAACATGGAGTTACTGATTATTAGATGTCTGCGACGACCTAACCCGACAAAGTTCCTCTGGTGTAACGGCTTCTGTAAATATATGCTTTCCTCCTTTTTTTTTGGCCTAGGTTAATATTAATTTAGAAGCATTGAAAAATACCTCAATAATTAGTTCGTCATTTTAAAATATTTTATTTCCGTACCCTGTTTTTAAACGTATAATATTGTGCACAAATTGAGCGCTTACCTTTTGCCCTAATTTTTAAATAAAAAAAAACGTACCGGCATCCCTTGTTTAAATTAGAGGTTGCCTTTTTTTTTATTAATATCCGTCGATTCAAAATTTTAAATAAGTTCTAAAAAATAGGATTTTTCTTTGAAAATTATATTATCGTCTGCTTTTTTATTTCTTTAATTACTAGTAAATATTCCTTATTTTAGGATTAATAAGTAAGTTTATATTACATTTTTATATAATATTACAAAGCGAACAATAAAAAAAAAGTAATGAAAAAGCAAACTTATTTGCGTTTTTCTAAATGGTCGCTAACATCAAACGGTAATTTACTAATTTGCACGAGGCCATTAGAAATGCATCATTGGCGCTTGCAATGCAGCTTTTGAAATG